TCTTACTGTCTTGAACTTTTGGAGAAAACTTTCTGCCCATTTGTTTGGCATTTGACGTAGATTCGCCAAATCAGCCAAAGTGACTTCAGACTCAGTTTTATAAAACTGAGCGTGAAATAACTGTTCCAATTGTTGCCATATTTGAATAGAGTTCGCTGGCAAGTTGATGAACCAGGAGAAAACTACTCCTGTTAACGAACTAGAGAAAAGTCTCATTTTATGGTAATCGGTTACATCACCACTTTGCAATGTGAATCGCCCTATGTGTTCTAGAGTAGACACCTCTCATAAACCGGTAAACAGTGAGAATTCTGGCACTTCGTACCCTCTAGGCCATGGATATGCTTGGTCTGCCCAATCAGGATATGGCTTCGTGTACGTCGGTCTAATGACGGGACGCACCCCAAAAGTCATCTGCTCCTGTACGATTTCCATAATCTGATTCCTCAACATGACGTTGGGATCATATGGAATTCCTACAGGCTGGTTAACCGATTGATTTGCATGAGGCTTGAAGTTTGGTCCTTGATTGGCAACAAAGTTTCCATGATTAGGGCCATTACCATTAGCCTGAACATCTATTCCCTCATTAAAACGTGGGGTATTTTGTCCATTGTTTAAGACATTATCTCTTATGTTTGGATTACCCCCCAAGTTAGGCGTACCACTACCATTGTTCTGATTTGGCACTGCAGTACCCCCTTGATTTGAAGTAGAGGGACCAGAAAGTGGTTCTACCCCTTGACTCGGATTTAGGACTGAGGGATTATGTCCCATAATTGTCCTAGTTTGAAAGTGATTTGCAAGAGGTATAACCGGTTGACATATTTGGCCTACTAACTTATTCATTGTTTCGTTCAAAGTGTTTAGTTGTTTGGCCATGTTGTCATAGCGTGCATTCCCATTTTGAGTAAATCTTTCTATATTATGAATACTTCGAAGATTTACCTGTTCAACAACGTCTTGTGTGAGTTCTCCAAGTAATGCACGCATGGTTCGAGGACTCAACTCCGTCATTGGTTCGTAACGACTGTTACTGCTCTGATTCTGTCCATCTGTTCGTGGAGAGGCATGCTGCTCCTCATATCGCTCAATCACAGACTGGACTCCTCCCTGACTTGTTGCTTCCTTATCGGATCTCTGAGGTATATTGTTTCATCTTTTGTACTTTCAACACCAAACACCACTGTCCCACTGGGCGTGCCAAATAGTTTCGCGCGGGTTAGTCGCTAACAATTAAAAAGGGATCAGACGATTGTGTAAGGGACAAACCTCTTGACACAAAGTCCCAAAAAGGGGTGTTCTTTTATTGGCGATGACTTTACAATTTGGAAATTATAAACAAAATGCTTCCAAGGGGCGCAAGCACACGAGTTACTGAAAAAAGTGTTTAAATCTAAGTTAAGGAAATTAAAATTACATGTTCTCTGTTCGAGAGTTTTTGATTCGGTCTCTTGCTCTATGTCTTTTCTCCCTTTTATACTTCATGGACGATCTCTTCGCGATCAACCGCTTAAAAACTGCTTGATCGTTCTGCAACTGCCCAATTTTCTCATAATGGCCAGCTTGTCATGAAAACTGCCTTATTTAACTGCTGCCATTACTCTTCGTCGTTCAACCGTTTTCGATTGAATTCCTTGAATCGTGGAACGTGATGGGGCTGCTTTAATAACTGTTTTGATAACTGCACTTCTTGATAATCACAACGCTTTATGTTTGTTAAGACTTCGGGCGATTTGAAGGTTTTGGCGAGAATAGAGTAATAGTTCTGGACGATTGCATGGCACTCCATTTGCTCAGATTCTGGGCGACTTGCAAACTTGGGCGATGGCGTTACCACGTTCTTGGGCCTCCCTATTTGGGCCTTCATCTTGAATTGTTTACTTGGGCTTCGTTCTTTGGACTATCTGATTTGGGGATTCTCCAATTGGGCTTTATTCCTTGGGCCGTTCGATTTGGGCTGAATTTTTATGTGTCAATATTATGAACGCTTTAATAAGATCTTTTTTTGAAAAATCAAATTGAATTCTCTTTGGAAATTTTGCAAAAAATGGATAAGGGATCTCATGAATCTCGCTCTTTTTATCTGGATTATTTGTGTTGCCGTTTCTGGTGCTATTCTATTCATGGTCATGATTGGGATGTTGAATTATGCCCTTCCAAAAAAGTCGCAACCAGATGTTTTGTTTGAAATCAATGATCAAATCCTTAATGTGCTTTTCACACTCATGTCTACCAACATCCAAAATGTACATATTGTTGAGAATTATAAACCTTACTTTTATTCTACCAAAAGCAATCAATTCGAAGAAATAAAAATAAACATTCAAGAATTCGCAAGATTTATAGAGGTTTTTTTTCAATGTGAGACTATATCCTATGGCTTGTTTGAGCCCCTTTTTTTTCTCCTCAAAAAACGCATTGTGCAATAGTGTTGAAGAATGTAATATTATTTTATTGAAAAATATCTAATTGAAATGAGGTCAAATTCCTGTTGATGAATGTACTTTGATGAAGAAAATGGGGTCTAACAAGGGCATAATTCACCATGATGGAAAAAAAAAAGGTTTACAGCAAAAAATCTTATTCCTATCTTCTCTAGCCTCTCTTTCCTTCTTTTTTAACGATAATGAGAAAGCCTCAGGACATCTCCCTATTTATAAGATAAATTAGGGTAAAATTGAGCTTTACAAGGACTCAAATTTCTTAATAGAATTTTACAAAAATACAAATTCCTAAACAATCCTTAATGAAAAAATTTTAGGATCAACAATATCTTTTAGGATATGCGACCAGCACAACGAAGTAGCAATAATTAGGCTCCATTACTTAATAATATATCACCTTGCAATTTCTATTTTGAGATGGAGGGCAGAAGACCTTTTGAAACTAATATAAAAATTACTGCAAGGATAGAACCTATAAACCAAATGAATGGATGTAGATGATGGGTGGTTGTGAATTTGATCGAAAAGGATGAATAAGTACAAGTTTGGGTTTCCACTGATATAAGTAGCCAACCAGATCATTCAAGAATAATCTCATTTGAAAAGAGATTTTCATTTGCTTTGAGAGACGATGGAAGAACTCTTGAGGGTATCTACTTCCAGAAGAAATCAAAGAATTTCTTGGGAATCTCACAAGATCCTTCGTTCTTTTTTCTCTGATAGATGGTCAGAACTTCATCTGGGTATGAATCCTTCTGAGAGGTCCACTAGAGTTCAGAAATTGTTGAAGAAACAACAAGATCTTTCTTTTGTCCCTTTCCTCTCATTATTTTGTAGCTTCTGTGTTTTTAGATGGAATATGGAGAGATTTGTATTTGGAAACATGTATGTTTATCTGGCGACTTTTCTTCTATTTTGTACGGCTCCATTTTAGATTTTCGATCTGGCTGCTATTAATATTGATAATGAAGCTGTCAAGGTGGCATTGGGTTAACCGGCATTTTTCTTTGCATGTTTAGGTTACTCTGTGGTGGCTTTTGGAGGATTTAGATGAGGAAGAGATACAATTTACCTTTGTATAATCTTTGTCGTGGCAAACTAGCAATCATCAATCGTGCCATGTGGCTTTTTTGGCAGTTGGTGCTCTCTAGCTCAGGAAGTCAAGACTTCTTAGGATATTGTGGAGGATAAAGTTTTACAAAGGACTTTGCATTTTAATCGAAATTGAACATTTCGAATCGAAACCGAAGTTTCGAACCGAAATTGAGAACCGAGTGTGTCTGATCGGTTCATGGTTCTTGAACTAGAATTTTAGGTATCCGAACGGAACCTATTTTTTATATAATATTTTAATTTTAACAATTTATAGGTTGGGTAAAAAAATACAAGGCCTAAAAATCAAATTTTGGTAGTAATTTATCTTAAACTCTAGACTCTATCATGATTGGGTCTTATATTTTTGTCTCTCGTCTCACATCAGATTATTGTATTTTAGAAGTTAGTACATGTAAATATTTACTCAATAGAAAAATATTCGAAGTATCTTTTTTGCTTTGACCCGTGGGAAGATATACTCTGGAGTTTACTCAATTTTCTCCCATGAACTATTTGTGTCAATAGATTAGTTCGATCCAAAACTTGAGATAAGGGGTGAAAAGCATGAAAAAAAGGGGTCGAATGATACGATCCCTCCGTGACCCCAAAATGACTTGAGAACAGATAGCTAATGCGTTCCACTTATTGAACGGGTTTTATGGTCGGGAATCGATCTGATTCTATCTCTGTTCCTTCCTTTTGAAGAAATGAAGGATCCTAAAGAATTGTCTCTGGCCAACCTTCCTGCAAGAGATTTTTTTGGGACCCTGCAGATCCGCTCTTTTTCCTATTCAAAGATCAGCCCCTTGGCTCGTGGGCCTCTTTTGGTGGGTCTTCGAGATCATTTCGATGACCAATGTTGTGTTGAAGGGATATCTATTTAATCCGATTGATTGCGTAAAGCCCGCGATAGCAACGGAACTGGGGAAAGTATACATAAAAGAACTTTAGGCTTTCTTTTTGTAGTTTTGAGTCTCTACTATTTTGAGTCATGTAGTTGGATTTCTTAGCTAATTTTTTCCTTACACAAATATTTTTTTAGTATATATGTATCGAAAGGATATATATAGAAATGTTCACTAAATGTATATAAAAGAAATTGTTATGGGTATAACCAAACCCAATCCCAAAGCTTGAGTGTTAAAGGATCGATACTGCTTGGACCGGGGCCTCCTGTAGCTTCTATTTACATATTTTCAAAACTTGGGCCTAAACTAGAAATAGGTGGAGCATCTTTCTCGTGGCCCTTTTCTTGTCCAATATAAAACCTGACAAAAGCGAGATTTCATGCGGACAACAATGTTATTTTTCACAATGTGAACAAAAGAAAGTTAAAGGAGCTTTCGCACTCATTTTCCTGTCCCATTTAAACCTGTCATCAACATTTGCCACCTCCAGCGGAGGATAATGAGCCTTAAGTCAAGAAAAGTGAGTTAAAGGAGCTTTTAACAAAGTAAAATTCTCATCACAGACAAAGAAAGAATCATATTCCCTCCCTACAATTTTATATTTATATGCAACAAATTTCACCAACATCCAATCATTCACCACTGCAACAACTTCATCTTCTCCAATTAGTTACCAAGAGAACCTGCAACTATCAAGAAACTTAAGAATCAACTCATCAGCAGGTTTATTGGAGCAAGTATAGATCCTTACATTCTATCTTTTTCAGATATCTAGTTTCTTTTCCTGTCAACATAGTTCTCACCAGTTAATTTGTTTTGCTTCAGAATTACAAGATATCATTATAAGCAGTTCTTCAGATTCATATAGTGAATATGGCCAATGTAAGTTCCTCAAAACTGTACATTATGACACACAAAATTTATAGTTATATATGCACAATTATTTCTTGTGATCTCATTTATGCAAATATTTGTCTATGTTTAGGTAGTGGAGTTGAAGGTAGGCTTACACTGCGATGAATGCATTAAGAAAATCTTAAAGACCATCAAGAAGATTGAAGGTAGCATTTAGATCTCCTTTCGAAAAATTCTATTTCTCAGAGTATTGTTCGATAGATATAATCACATTTTGTTATTCTATTTTTGGTAATGAAGAAATTGTTATCCTTCACTCCTGGGCTTTGAGCCTTTTTTTCATGCTTTCCTCGGAGATCTGGAGAAAGCTGCAATCCAAATAAAATCTAAAATAAACATGTATTCTCTGTGCCAATTTAATTTTTTGGACGAGGTGATTCTATATAGTATCCACTAATAAAGATATCAAACCTCCGCTCTAACTTATTTAACGGATTGTTTATATATAACACCCCAAAAAGTTAACAATGTCTGTTGATGCTTGATGCAGATATAGAAACATACGATATTGACACAAGATTGAACAAGGTTACTGTAACTGGCAATGTGACAACTGAAGAGGTCATCAGGGTTCTTCACAAGATTGGGAAACAAGCAAGTATATGGGATGAAAATTCAGCAAACTAGACTATCATGCCATTCCTACTCTATATTAAAGGCCATACCTGCATCAGTTTAAAGCATCAGAGATATTATAACAAGCAAATTGATGATACAGGCTAAACTAAAGCCCCTGTGAAATACTAAATTTCTGTTTTCTTGGGTTTGTTTGTTTTATTACATTCTGTGAAAGGGATTTTTTGTGCACTATGTTTATTAAAGAGTACTAATGAACTTTTGGAGAATGATTTATTTAATATATATAAATTAATGAAATTACTACTTATATTGATGTGCATATTTTCTGTAGTAGGGAAAAAAAAAAATCATCTTCATAAAATGGTTATGGGAAGACTAAAAATATAGGATAAAACGAAAATTGAAGGAAAATTTCGATGATCTTTTCTCTCCTTCATAAATCTATTTCGAAGGCCTGTTTTAAAAATTAAAATTGCTAAAAGGAGTTTGATTTGTCATACTAAAAAACTTCTTCTGAAAACAAAAAATTACCATTTGGTATTGGATCTTCCAAATCATTCTCGCAGGAGATACGGACCCATTTTTTTCTGATCCTTGGGATGGGGTTTCTCTTGCTTTTGGCATAGCGGGCCCCCAGTGAGAGGTTTGCACGACGGGCTAGTGTAAAGTCATATCTCTTTGGTTTATAAGATTCAAAAGGTTTATCGATCCCCGGGTAGTGGAGATAGTCGCACGTAATGAAAGATCATGGTCATATTATTAAAAGCTTTAGTTTAAAATTTTGATAAATTGTTTTATGAAATTTTACTTTTTGAAATTTGATTATTCAGTAAAATAGAACAATTTTATTTTCTGGAATTGAAGCTTGCTTACAAAGAACATTGACCAATTAAACCAAAAAAAATTATAAGTATGTGTAGAACGTGAATGGCTAATCTAAATATAAGGAGGATATAGGAATATGAATTAATGCATATCAATTGATTTAACATAAATATATCTCCATAAAAATGCACGTGGATTGATGTAAAGAAAAAACATTAATTAATTCAAAGAGAGATATAAAGAAAACACAATGATCGAGAAAGATGAGATCACGTATTGCAGATTCAACATATGTATATGTAAAATTCATGTATTATCAAATTAATTTTGATATATGTGATAGATGATTATGAAAAAAAATTACTACCTTCTAAGAGTTTCGTGTTGATAACGTGTTATAAAATAAGAGGAAAAGAGAATAGAGAAAACTCAAAGAGAATAAAGAAAACTCAATAAACTTTTTGTGTTTATTATTGAAAACCAAAGCCCTATATTTATAGGTAAGAATCAGTGATACAATAATAATAATTTTCAGGGCTACAGGGGTACAAATGTCATTCACCAATAAACTTTAATGGACTTTTCATTTACAACAAATATGATTATATTTATTTTGACCTTAAAAATGTTGGCTACACTTCGGCTTCTCTTTCCTCCATCCTATAACAACCACCTTAGACAAAGCCACCAAAACTAGAGGTAAGCCTGCTATTAAGGTGTATGTGTAAATGCGTGTGTGACGAAAACTTAGCTATTGCAGTTTTTCTTGTCTCCTTTTTCCCTTTTATTGATATTTCCTTCTGAAAAATCAGTTTTTCCAACTGGGATTCCAACAGGAAATTAAGAGAAAGAAAAATATTACATATTGGAATATAATGGGAGATCAAGGGAATGCATATATTGCTTGTCAAGCTGCAGATAAGATTGCAACTTTTGGTGTATGGATAAAGAGAAATCCTTTAAATTATTCTGTGCCTCTTATTTTAGTGCAGTTCTCACTAATTTCTATAACATCAATGCTGATTGATATCTGCCTCCGGCCTCTTGGACAATCATCTATGGTCACTCAAATTTTTGTAAGTATTCTTCTCTCAGTAACATTTTTCTTCATTACATGTTCTCTTTTAAGCGATTCTGGAATAATTAATCGATGAACGACTTATGTAGATGGGGCAATTAGAATAGTAGTGAGACGTATGGCTGCGAATAACAATGATTCACATAAATGTATTCTATTTTATTGAGAAAATAAGGAAAAGTCTAATATTGTTTATATTTCTTGGACATAATGAGATTCTTCCATTTTCAGAGTATAGAATAGTGCTAGAAAAAAAGCTAAAATCTTATTTATTATAGTGTATAACAAACGTGAATGGATATGTTAGCTATAAGGTGTAAAATTACCATAATATAGCTAACAATATTTTCTTTGAAACCAGGGTGGAATGTTGCTTGGCCCTTCATTGTTAGGACACAAAAGTTCCATAGGAAGTTTATTATTTCCTCCAAGAGGTGCGTTGACATTTGTAACAGGAGCAACATTCGGTCTAATGTTCTTCTTTTTCGCGATAGGCGTAAAAGCAGATCCGATGAAGATGATCCGACCAGGAAGGCAGGCAGCTGTCTTAGGTATCTCAGCAATGTTTGTTACATTGGCACTTACTTTGCCGTTATCTTTCATATTAATTCGTTATGTCCCCATGGACGGGACTCTAGCCGAATCCCTACCTTTCATTGCAGCGTCACAATGTCTAACACCTTTTCCAAACATCTCGTGCCTACTTACGGAGCTTAAGATGTCGAACAGTGACTTAGGCCGTATTGCAGTATCAGCATCCATGTTATGTGATATAATTGGCATAACCTTAGTTGTTATATTACTTTCAATATTACAGGCGAATTTCAATCCACTCCAATCAGTAGTGGGAATTATAGCAGCATTTCTATTTGTGGTTTTTTTGGTGTATATAATTAAGCCTCTTCTGTTAAGAATTCTAAGAAGAATACCACATGGGAAATCTGTGGGAGAGAACTACATCATTGGAACTTTTACATGTGTTCTTGTAGTTGGAGTAATCAGTGAGCTAATTGGCCAGCACTTTGTACTTGGACCATTAGTCTTAGGTTTGATGGTGCCTGAAGGGCCGCCTTTGGGAACAGCCCTGATTTCGAAACTTGATATCCCGGTAGGGAAGATATTCTATCCGATATATCTCACAACGAGTGGTCTGAAAACGAACATTTTCAAAATTCACCTTCAGTCATTGTGGATTTGTTTATCCATAGTTTTGTTTTCTTGCATAGTCAAGATTGGAGCAGTAGTATTGTCGTCTAGATATCTGCGTATAAACTTTCAAGACTCCTTCGTGATTGGACTCATGATGAATGCAAGAGGCATTTGCGAACTGATTGTTTACAACTTGTGGAAGGACGGCCTGGTAAGATTGAAAACCACTTATTTTCAATTAAGTTTGTTCGTAAACGACAACGTCGATTTATATCTAAACTGATATGATACTGATTTAATGACAGCTTCTGACAGATCAAGAGTTCTCCATTATTGTTATCGCGTTGATTGGAGTTACTGCAATCATAACACCGTTAATAAAGTTCATGTATGATCCTTCAGAACAACGAGTTCCTCTCAAGAGGAGGACAATTCAGCATGCTAAACAGGATGCTGAGCTCAGAATATTGGTTTGCCTCCAAAACCAAGATAACGTACCGACCATCATAAACATACTTGAAGCCTCAGACGCAACAGAAGAAAGCCCGATTGCGGTCATAGCAGTCCTACTTGAAGAGGTAGTAGGCCGAGCCAATCCCTTGCTTGTTTCTCATCAATCCACGAGAATCCTGCAGCCAAGCAACTCCAAATCAAGCCATATAATAAATGCCTTGCGCCAATATGAGCTTTGCAATGAAAGATGCGTCACTGTCCAATCATTTAGTGCCATCTCACACGCAGAAACAATGCACGAAGACATCTGCAGAGTAGCACTTGACCAGAATGCTACAATTGTGATTCTACCTTTTCACAAGCACTGGGAAATCGATGGCTCCATCGGGTTAGTGAATCGCTCTATTCAGACCATGGACATCAAAGTCTTGGAAAAGGCCCCATGTTCCGTCGGCATTCTCGTTGACAGGGGAACTTTAACCGGATCAATGTCTATTCTCAACACTCAATCCATCTATCGTGTTGCTGTCATCTACATTGGTGGTCCAGATGACGCAGAGGCACTCTATTATGGTTCACGAATGGGGAGACATAACAATGTCACTCTAACACTTGTTCGTTATCTTCTTTTTGGAAGCGACAATGCTAGAGAAAGGAAACAAGATAACATTCTAATGGACGACGTTCGACAAGCTCACAATGGAAACCAGAATTTCATATACCAAGAACAGCTTGTGAAAGACGGAGTAGGCCTAACTGCATCCCTTAGAGCCTTGGAAAATAACTATGATTTAATGATAGTTGGAAGGAACCACCAAGCATCACAAATCCTAATGGGGCTTAGTGCATGGAGCGAGTGCCAGGAACTCGGCGTGGTCGGAGACATTTTAGCGTCGACGGATATTGGAAGCACCGCCTCAGTACTGGTAGTGCAACAGCAAAGACTCCCTGGAGGAAAGTTGATGAGTAGAATGATGAAACCAGTGATAGTTAGTCTAGAAACAGGAGTTGATGCATCAGTCACTGGTGCAGTAACAACACCAGTATCTAGTGATGATGCTAAATGGGAGATTGCAATAGATAGAGATAGGGATTAGGGGTTTGTTCATGCAACACATTTGATTTTTGTACACTTCTTCTTGTAATCATAGGAAGAAAGAGCCATTGCAGAAGCTGAAGAAAATTTTACAAATTTTTTGTACAGAATGTATGTGATAGAACGCTCTTTCAAAATCAAAAGAAAAGTTGAATTTCTAATGAAGAGTGGAATTGTAATGAAATACATTTTTTTCAATCACTAGTGGGATTTAATTTGAATATTATTGAAGTTTAATAGTTACTGATATTGAAATAAATTCATGGGCTATCTTTCACACAATTGGATTCTTTAGGACTTCGACATGTGCAAAAAATGCATTGTTTATCGCTATTTATTTTTTCTTTCACCCAAATTTCACTAGATTTCTTAATTAGTTATGAGTTCTCACGTTGATTTAAAAGGTTATTTCACCTAAACAATGTAAGAAACTATTATAAATATGAATTTCCCATATTTTAAATTTTAAAATTACTATTTTTAAGAAACATGATTTTATTTTTGAATATATTTAACCTTGTTTGAGCTCCATTTTAATGTGTTTTGGAGAAAAAATGTATATTGGAATAGTGATTTTTTTAAGAATGTGTAGTTAAAAAAGAAGAAATTTTTTTTAGTTTACATATAATATTATTTTCTTGGAGAATCTGTAAGAAGAAAGAGGAGAGAAAAAAAAATTAATTTTGGTAAAATGGACCCCAAACATGGGCTTAGTAATATTAATATCAAAGCAACATAGTCTCTATTTGGTTCGGATTAAAATTTGCCCAAAAAAAAAAAAAGTTTAAATCAAAGTTAACAATTAATTTTAACCACACATTTTATATAATTTTTAACAATATATTTCATCAACTTTTATCAAAATTTCCTAAAAATCCGATTTTTAATAGCGCGAAACAGGAGCTAAACGTTGCTAGTGTTGTACATGTCATATTTAGCTTATTGTACATGCACATGCCTCCTTAGATTAATTAATTACAGTAGGATGAGAATTAGTAGATAAACAACGTTGAAGTTATAACTTGCAAGATGCTTGTACATTTAAAAAACAACCAATTAAGAGGAAAAAAAAATGAAAAATTACTTTTACTTCAACACATGATTAGCGGAATTGGACTTGTAAGTTTCTAACATGTACGATGTATTGATCCCGACAAGAGGAGAAGTTAGAATCTCATCAATTATAATGTATACTATTATATATGTGATTATAATTAAATTCTTGATAAAGAATGAAAAAAATATATTTTATTAAATTCTATTTAGCACCGTATACCAAACATATTCACATATTATATTCTTGGGTAATAAGCACAAAAGGTTCATACCTTTCATTGTTATTGTGTAAAATGTCTATATCTTTTATTTTTTGACATTTTCACTCCTACCTTTTACCTTTCATTGCGCAAAGGTCGTTTTTATCAAATTTTCAATAAAATGATAATTTTACCCTCCTATTCAAATAAAAAAAAAAAAAGAGAAACAAATAACTATGGTTGTAGTTCGTAATTCATCTTTTATTTTTATGATTTCTTTATAATTTTTAAAAACTTAAGGACTATGGCTGCAGTTGGTAATTCATCTTTTCTTTTTGTTTTATTTGAATAGAGAGGTAAAATCGTTATTTTATTAAAAGATGGATGAAAATGATCTTTTACGTAATGAAAGGTGAAAAGTAGAGGTGAAAATGTCAAAAAATGAAAGGTAGAGACCTTTCGTGCTAATTACCCTTATATTTTTTAACCCTCTCATCACTTTTTCCCCGTTCTCGATATTGCTTTAGATTTTTTTGTTCTTTTGGCCTGATAGTCATTATAAAGAGAAATTGGAAAAAATGATGTTTTTAAAAATGTAAAAATGTGTAGTTAAAAAGTAGTGAAAAACTTTGAGTTTACGTCTAACACATTGTATTGTATGGATATGTGATTAAAAATTAGGACGAGAAACAAATAGTTTTGACATAAAGATAATCAAACAGGGGTGCCGTAGAGTTCAATATAAAAAATAAGAAAAAGAGAATTCCTTGAAGAAAATTTTTACGGCTTCTTCTTCTTTTCCTGATATATATGCTTGACTTGAAAACTTTCCACCAATCACACAATGGAAAACAGATTCCATGTCCATGAATTTATGCCCATGTTCATCACTGTCTTCCTTAAAACTTTCGATTAACAACTATAAGTCATCATTTTCTCAGATTAATGAGCATTCTAAAGAAAACCAATTCATATGAGAAAACAAGACAAAGCTAGTAAGCACCAATAAAGCGAATTGAACATGAATGGTTAGTCAACATGCTTAATCAGCAGAAATCATTATCAATGAATGAGGAACACGTGTACTGGTGAACCATGTGTGATAAGCTAACAGATTCAATTAGAATTGAAAATCTGTCATGTGAACATAAAGATAAAGGGTGTGATTACCCTCGTGGCCTCACTAGAAATCTATTAATAGAGATAGCTGGAACAAGTAAAACCATGCAAATCTGAATATCTTCCTTTCAAATGGCTATTTCTCTTCTTGTTGCTACTTGAGCATAGAATCAGCGAGTTTAGGAAGAGAAAGTCTTGACTAGGTGATAGAAATTTGTTGATCACTATTTCGAGGTCAACAATTGGCGCATCATGTGAGAAGTAGAACAAAGGCAACCACGATCTCATCATTTTGAAGTTTAAACCATCAGAGAATTTGTCCGAAGATGAGCCAGGCAGAAATGGATTTTATCAAAACAGAAGCATAAGAATTTGAAAACTGAACTCCTCAGCGATTGTCACGAAGATACTGATGATAATCCAAAGATGCAGCGAAAAAAGTTCAAAGAACGCATCAATGGCATCATTACCCAATCTCGCACAAAGAAGAGGATTGTAAAATAAAAAAGGAGCTAATAGTAAATCAGCATCAGAAAATAACTGGATTCAAGGTAATTTGTAACGTAAATCTCCTTTGGTTAAACATATCAAATAAGAAAAAATTACCGGTCATTATTGTGATGCACTAATCATATGAGCAATAACAGCCGGTGATAGCTTTAACCACATGCTTTTGGATAGCAAGAGTTTGGCAAATGTTCTGTTTGAAAATGCATTCGATCATATGCAATGCAAGCTTATCATAATTGGATCACCGTGTCACATCCTTACTGTTTCACCATAGAAGGTTGGATCCTACGTAGACAGGCCAATCTAGTGGTGAAACTAGGCAAAGAACCCAGGTATAACAATGAAATATAAATTTTTTCATTCTTGAGAGTAGATCCGCTTACGATGGGATCCTTGAAAGACCTACTATGAAACAAGTGAATATGGTAATTTCTCTTCGCCAGTTTTGTGAAAAATTTTCTATTTACGCTCGAGAAGCTTATATAAAATGTGATCAGGGTCTTGCGAGGATGCCGCCTTAGTAATCTAAGAAAGGCGACCCTGCAAAACCCTATGGTGAATATGATAGTGATGGTTGAAGTTGATGACATTGACACTTGCATCACTGAATGCATATACAAAGCTACAAAGGTTGATGCGCTTGAAAGATTTTCTGTCAACGAATAGGACTCAACAATGTTTTTGTTTCGCGCGGGTTAAGTCGCTAACAATTAAAAAGGATCAGACGATTGTGTAAGGGACGAAAACCTCTTGAGACAAAGTCCCAAAAAGGGGTGTTCTTTTATTGGCGATGAACTTTACAATTGGAAATGAAAAACAACGTGCCTCCAAGGGGCGCAAGCACACGAGTTACTGAAAGAAAAGTGTTTAAGTCTAAAAAACTAAGGAAATGAAAATTCCATGTTCTCTGTTCGAGAGTTTTGGATTCGGTCCTTTGCTTCTATGTTCTTTCTCCCTTTTATACCTCATAGTCAATCTCTTTGTGATTAACTGCTTTAAAAACTCCTTGATCGTCCTATAACTACCCACTTTCTTCGTAGTGGCCATTTTATCATGAAAACTGCCTTTTAACTGCTGTCATTACCTTTCATCGTTCAATCGCTTTCGATTGAATTCCTTGAGTCGTGGAACGTGATAGGGCTGCTTTAACAACTGCCTTGATAACTGCATTTCTTGATAACCACGACGCGTTATGTCTGTTGATACCTTGGGCGACTTGAAGGTTTGGACGAGAATAGAATAACAGCTTTGGGCGATCGTATGACACTCTATTCGTTCAGATTCTGGACGACTTGCAAACTTGGGCGATGGCGTTACAGCATTCTTGGGCCCCCTTGTTTGGGCCTTCACCTTGATTTGTTCGATTGGACTTCGTTCTTTGGGCTATCTGATTTGGGGATCCTCCAATTGGGCTTTACTCCTTGGGCCGTTCGATTTGGGCTGGATTTTTTATGTGTCAACAGTTTTAAAAGTTGACAAAGATTCGGTTGAACATATGAAAAGACTTCCTAAAAGTGAAATATGATGTGTTCGCCTGGAGGTAAGCCGATATGATTAGGATTGACTCAAAAGTGGCATATCATGCACTGACAATTGATAACAAAGCAAAACTGCAAGTTACAAAGGAGACAACAAATGAACTCCGAAACACATGAAGCTTTAAAAAGCGAAGTTGTTAAACTATTAGAAAATGATTTTATTAGCAAAACTTAATATCCGGTATGGATATGTAACCGCATTCTAGTCCTTAAACATAATCGAAAATGGCTAACCTGTCAAGACTTCACAAACTTGAATAAAGCATGTCCCAAAGATAGTTTCTTGCTCTCTATAATTGATTAGCTGGTAGATGGGATCAAGGATACAAGTTATCGAATTTCATAGATGCCTATTTCGAATATAATCAAAGTCTCATTTATGGACCCGATGACGAGCATACTGCCTTTGTAAATGATCAATGCCTATATTACTATAAGGTAACGCTCTTCAATTTGAAAAATACTGGGACAACATATCAAATACTAGTCAACAAATTGTTTATGTTACAAGAAAATACCCAAATCGACTCAACTAAGGCAAAAAACTCTCAGACAAAGGCATCAAGATTTCATCGATTAGGGCTCAGATCTTAGCATTGTACCCGTCTGTACAATGTAAAACTCATAAACCACAGTCCCAAACCACAAAACACAGAGGCAATCACTTCAATGAACCAAGAACACTTAAGACCTAACTGAGAACTCCTAACAAAACTCAACCGAACAGTCACACAGACTGTAGGAACACACAGAGGCCACAAAACCAGTAGTTT